ATCGGGTTTCATTACATGGGTTATTATCATTGGTAGCAAATATTTATGCTATTCCATAAATTTATTTTTCTTCAAGATGATCAATAGTCGATTATTATTACTAGTTTATCATCGTTATTCGTTGATATATTCATTTTTTTGTAGGAAAGATACTTGCTTTATTTTGTTAAAAATGTTGATTTTTTGTGAAAAATTTATCAAATAAAACGTTTATTAAGATATGAATTATTTTAAAAGCTGATGACAAAATGTCAAAAATTAAATATTTATATGTGAATAAAGTTGGGAAAAAGTTTAGGGCACTTTTTGCTTGTCTCCATGCAGGCCTGTTTATAACCCATATTTGAATAGGGATTTCGATAGAGCTCAGAACGACCTAAAATCTATTGTATCAAAAATATCAACAATGAATCGGTTCAGTTTTTATGAAAGGAATCGATTTTGATCAGCGGAAAAATATCTCTTGCATTTTGTTATTTTATCCATTTTACCATTATCAAAAAGCAGAAAAGTTTCAAAAAATACTAATCAATGCAGCATTGAATGTGCTAAATTTTGTTATATATATTTTAGAACAACTATTGGTTATATTAATTGAATATTTATTATTATAATTTTCGATTTTGATCCACACCGAAAGAAAGAGCATTAAAAACACTCAACTGTGTGTTTTTTATTTTACAACAACCAACCTTTATGGAATTTTTTAAGCCCTTACCTAACTATGAGAAAGCGTAGCTTCAAGATAAATGCATGAGGATATACTCAGAGAATAATCTATGAATAGTAAGCTTTTCAAATGACGAATAATAAAGTGCATGTGAATATTTTAATTTATTCTGTCAATCATACCGCTTAAACCAAAATGATTCCTATTTCAATTTGATTAAAGCCACTCAAATAATCACAAAGTTAATCAAGTTAAAATGGTTGATAGTTATAACTTAAGTTATAAATCGACATCTTTTAGCTTTCACACTGAACAACACTTTGTCCGCCAATGGTAGGATGATTTGAATTTTTCAAAATTATCACTAACGCTAGTGATAACATTAATAAAAAAACGAAATCGTTCAACATCTAAAATTATCTTTACTTGGTGAAATCATATTCATTAGTGAATACATCAAAGA